AAAGACACGGCCGCTGTTAGGTTGGATTTGGCGCCCAATGTTTAGGGTGAAGCGAGCTGCAGTTGAAAGGTGGTATCACTGGTAGAGAGCATGGTTGGTGTAACTAGAAGCATTGGATGTGGAAACGGTGACAAGGCTTTTTTTTGAGGGCAGTACAATGACTCCGTAGAGTGGGGTGCATGCCAGATGGCGGGATACTGCAAGAATGGCCGGCTCTCTGTTTTCTGCCAGGGAAAAGTTATTGAAGCTTTAATGCAAACCTCGTAGTGAACGTGAATAGGCGGGGGCGCACAACGGCCTTGGGCCCTGCCAGCCGTGATTCGGGGTGAGTCATAATAATTCTCGCGTGGCATTGACGATTTGTGCACATTTCTGCATAGTTGTGCCGAGGAGTCAAGCAAGTTGCATGCCAACTTGTGCAAACGGATACATAATGGCGCCACCACCATCGGGAATTCACCAACTGATCCATCAATCCATCGCCTTGTCTTTTGCAAACAGCTTCAATCACGCCGACCCCTGTGCTTCCCCAGGTGCCGTACAATGAATCAGATCAACGCCCTATTCATTCAAAGACGGCTTGCCGCCTCAATCATGCATGCAGCTCATCAGTTTATTTGCCCAAACATTGCAGTCGGGAGGCGATGCTGCCACGCGTCCGTCTCTTTCCTCAAAATATCATCACGGCCTTGATGACATGGCAGTTTTTGATGGGTAGACAGTCAATGAGGGCAGATGGTGAAATCCGGCGCACGGTGGAGAGATCTGATCAAGTTCACTGATGCCCTCTGCTACCTAACCTACTAACTTCTTACCCAGGAACTCCTGACCCCGTGTTGGAATAAAGGACGTATCCTCTGAACTTCGATGATTACCTACCTAGATAGGTACCCAGATGCCTGGGTCCTTCAAAACCACGACAGTGACCATCATGATAATTACGACGTTGAGATGCGCATCGCGCGCAGTGCCTATTTACTTCTGTTACGATTTAGGTTCTTAGTCGACCTCCCCATCACCCAGCCACACCCCGAATGATGGCGCACAAGTTGATTGCAGATCTCATATTATTATTTTCGTTCTTCAACCTATCCCAATATTCGTGCCAGCACTACATCAGGTAGGGCTCAATTATACAAACACCGTGTGCCTGGTCGTACCTAAACCAGAGAACCGTGACATGCGAAAGAAAATGCCACATAAACACGTATTATAGTACGTGAAAAGCTTACAGAACCACGATTCATGGCTATGACATGGCGCGGCATAGCTGCGCGCCGGCAAAGGCTATCTCATGATAGTCTCAGCCAGTACATTAAAGCAAAATATATTTGCGGGCAAGTGACTCACTCCGAAAACTCAAATGGCCGCACACAACATAGATCACCAAGTTCTGCGCTCGGCTTATCTCTTATATTGCTGTCTCTAGTCTCTGTTCTTGGTCTCTATCTCCCTGCACCCTGGCATCTTCATCTCACCCAGAAGGGTACATTGGCGATGGGGATCAAAATCACGATTGACAGGCGATGAACCTGCCTTGTCGCATACACATTCGTCCAATAGTCTGGAACAAGAACAGTGGAATGCGAGACAGCATTCGCAAGCTACCAGTCGACAGAACGCATGAGTATCAGCGAGCCCTCAATGGCTTTCAGAGCAGGCAAAGCATTCAGCCTACTCCGTACACCCCTGACATAGAGAACAATCACCGTGCGGCGAAGCCTCGGGCTCACAACAGCGTTCCAATTGTGACAGATCAAGAAAACATGCACTCACGTCGTATTCGACGGTCCTTGGTGTGTGGCATCTCGATGCACATACATCTTCAGCTGTACTCCGTATTTGAGGTCCGAATTCACTGTCGATCCATGCACCTGTACAGCTCTACCAAGTCTAGGACTTGGCAAAATAGCCATCCGGTCGTTGATTCGCCGCTCTTTTGCCGTCAGTGCCTTGAACCTTGACACTGAGACCTGCCAAGATGTCGCTGCCACCTTCAACCCGCGTCGCTAAACAAAGAAGCAACAAAACTACCTAGCAGGCTAGCAACCTCTTAGACTCATCAGATGCATCCCACGGCGTCATTCCTTCGCGCCGTCTACCGAAACATCCCAAATAAGAAACCACCAAACTGCAAAGCAACCAATCAAGGCCTTAGTGCGTGGAACTCGACTCCATGCATGCAAGTGCCATGCAGCTACGGACGGCTCGCGATAGTGTGGGCCGAATGTGGCTGTGGAGGTGATATAGCGGGCACATGCATAGACCAACAGGAAAGGTTGACGAAGCGCCGTGAGAGAAGGCGCGTCGGACCATGCCCGCAAAAAGGGACGGATTATGTCCAGGGTCATATGATTGGACATGTCTTTTTGCAAAGAGTGTTTAAATCAGACGAAATGAGAGCGGCAATGGAGCACTGCCTCGACAGGGCTCGGCAAGCATTGCCGAGAGGAGGTATATAAGTCGAGAGAGATTGGGGTAATCTGAATGAGTGCAAAGCAAACCAGACGCTTCCTAAAGAGAACGCCGGATGACCATTTCTACCAGCTCATTTACAAAAATACCCTTTGCATTTTCCAAATCGCTTTCAAATTCGCTTACTCAAGCAACACGACAGATATAATGGGTCTAGCCAAAGCCGCCATCAAAATCGTCATCATCCCTATTGTCATTGTTGTTATCCTCGCGGTCCTCGCTGCCGTTTTGATCAAAATCAAACGCAGCAAAAACAAGGACCTCGAGCAGGGAGAATTTCCCCCTCCAGCGACGCTGCCACCACCGAGCTATCCTGCCACGTCGCAACCTCAGACGATGTATTTCGCACCAAATAAGGGGACAGGGAATAATGGGTTTGGCTAAAGTTGGGGATTTCTGTAGGGGGCTCTGGCAAGGTAGAATTGGCTATGATACAATTCCGGGCTCGTGAATATTTGGCAGGACCAGGGATTCAGGGTAGCAGTCGCAGATACGCAGCAGCATTTGGTAGTATTCTCCTTGAAAAGAAAACGTCGAGACTCGCATCTTAGAAAGAATATACTTCTCTTTTTTTTTTTTCGGAGCGAAAAAAAGGCATCAGTCAAGTCCACACTAGCCGTCTTATCAGTCCAGATTGTGCGGGACCAGTTGACAGGGCAGAGTAGGACAACGGACAATCTTTTTATATCGTTGGATGAATATTATATGACGAATAGACTCGGATAGCAGCGCTACCTGTATTTTAGTGCTAGATGCCCTGCGGCGGCCCCATGAGCCAAGTCAGGTTGTCATGAAGCATGTGGCACTTGATTGTAATCGAACGTCCGCCCAGGCGGAATAGAACAAAAAAGCATCATTTTCCGACAAATAAAATTGATGATTCCAAACACTTTGATGCGTCAAGGTTGTCGTTTTATCATGTCATTCCGGAGCTAAGCTCGGTGGTCGCACATAAGCCGTGCAATATGAGTCTTTCCGGCGTGGCTAAGCTGGAGAAGCCGGGGCATCGTAGTGTCTAGTGTTGGTCAGATTGGCTGGGAGGGAGACTCGATAGTAAGCAGTGAGATGCTCCTGTGGCAATTCAGGTCTTGCTCTCTTCCATATGGGGCTCATGATGGAACTCTGGGCGCAGCGAGCAGGTGACTGTGGCACCAACGTCATGGTATCAGCTGCTGCCCCTGACACAGACCCTTGAGGTAATTGATGCTTTGCTGGACGTGACGATTGAGCATTTGAGGATTGGTGAGCGGGACTTCTAGCTTCTCTGGACTTCGCTTCATAGGTTCCTAGCCTTGAAGTCTTGTGGTTGGACCCAAGTGTTATGGTATAGCGGAACCATCTCTGTTCTATACCGCGACGAGCTTTCAATGTCCCCGAGAATATGCGACACTTTTGTTATTTGCGAGGCCGACGAGGTACCAAGACGCCGGTTCGGGACACTCAAGGAGACCAGTATCTGTCCAACTCGCAAAATAGCACAAAACTTGTGCAAATTGACATGAGCGTTTGCAGACAAGTCGGCCACGTCAAGCGGCCAACCTTGTCTAGATTTGTAAAGAGGTATTGCGACGAAAACAAGGGTCTGGCAGCGAAATGTATTGTATTACGGGAGATGGCACAAAGTCAGAGTGGTGCGCCACCTTGGCTCTATGAAGCTCAATTCGATGCATGGAAGGAAGAGCAAAGCTGCCTTGGGAAACATGGGGGAGAATCCAGTATGTGAGCGTCCCAGCAGGTCATGTTGCGTCGTAATACAATAGTCATCCCCGAGGTGGAGAGCAATTTCCGGCAGAAACTGAGGCTTTTTGCACGGCATCGTCATCTCAGCCGCGGACAGCCTCATGTTGTTTACCCTAGTATAGACCGAGTTTGCTATGCCCCAAAGCGAGGAATGGAAAACGCTGTACTCAGAAAAGCCTCTTCCTTGCATACCGAGTAGCTGAGTAGTCAGTCAAAGGCTTTTCTTCAGTCCGCCATAACTGTCTACGATTCCAGGGTATTATAGGCTGGCTGGAATCCGTGGCTTTTCGCTTCCCCCTTGCAAAGAACTCAACTAGGTCATAGCAAACAGGTACATCCAGCAGGCAGCCGTCTACGATGCTTTCTAGAATGTTTCATTATTCTTAATGGCTGTACGCCTCTTTTATTTAAGGGGGGGAGCTGTCACGGAGACTACCTTATTTGTAAACTTGTTCCCGTCGATTGAGAAACCTGACGAGCAGGTTCAAACATGCGATTCCGTCAGCCAACGGGAAGTTTTGATTCGTACATTATTCGAGACCCAGGAGCATCTGTTGAATCAGCTCACATTCTGAAAGACGCTTCTTCATCGTTCCGATCCACCAAACCATTGTGGCCCGTCCCTGTCAACCGATACATCTGACCGCTGTGCGTGTAAGTCACATCTTCTACCAGTATACTCTGGTACTCATCCAATTAACAAAGTCACCAAGTCTCTACAGCCATCGCCGGTGTCCTCTTGTGTAGACTACGGCAACGCTAAAGACCAAAAACACAACAACATTATGAAGCCCAACGAGGCTATTGCCTTGATACTCGTCTTGCTTCTCGTTGTAATCGGACTCTCCTGGTTTGTCTTTCGCATTAGAATTGTACCGCCGATTACACCCCCAGCAAACACATCCCGTGACGAGAGAGCCACAAACCCGGAGCCTCCATTGCGCGCACCTCCCCCTCTGCCAGCTACTTCACCTGTCAACCCTCGGGCTGGAGCCGAGAGGACTGTGCCCGTCGAGCCGCCGGAAAGTACAGGAGAGGGGGCGCGTGTCTATATCGGAAGAAGGAATGGAGATGAAGACGGGAGAGCAACGGCCGAGGAAGCAGGACAAGACGAAGCCCGCGGACGGATCTATTATTCCAGAGACACACTCAATATCGGCGTACGTCATGATCTCGTAGTACATGCTAGGTCTACTCGCTGACAAACTGAAAGAGCCGGGATTTCAGTCTGTAACAGGCATTTGAATCCACAAGTCGTCCACTGTGTGTTGAAGAGGCCGGGATTTTTTATCTTTTTCTAGAATATACGCAAGAGCCACAAAGTCAGTGGCTTGCATTCCGCATCGACGTGACTAGAATCGCCAAGAGGTTAGAAGTTAGAACTCCGGCGTACAAGGGCCAAGTAGACAAGACATACCCTGCCCTCATCAACCATCCCATTGCCCAATGTAGGCCACGCTCGTATAAGTCGGCTTGTGCAGCTCATTGACCCAGCGTCGCATCCGCACATCGGACTTGATGTCGCACGGCGGCGCCCCCTTGCCGCATCGCTCACATGCAATTGCGGATTCCAGATGGGAATCAGACGGACGGGCCCCTGGGCCCTGACCACCTCTGCCCCGCCATCGAGCTCCCGCCCCCTCGACGACATTTTCATGAGTAATACAGTCAGTCATTAAGCAACTCTCAGCCGTCACTCACTCACCTCATCGCGAACCTCACATCTCACAGCCTCCTGCCCTTCCTGCCGCCCCCCCGTCCCCATCACACATCCCCATAGGCCTGCCGACTACCAAGGTGCGCAGACTGCTCATTCTCCTCCGTCCTCAGAATCCAGGCCGCAGAACCACGCAGTCCACCATGGCGACAGAAGGCCGCCCGTCCATTGTCGGCCCAGACAGCGGCCCCGAGCCGCCGTATCCCTACAGAATGGAGGGCAAAGTAATTTCAGGCTTCGGACGAGGCTCCAAAGAGGTTCGTCCGTCTCACGCCTTGCCTCACCGACCCCTCCGGCCGGGGGACTAACAGGAATATTAAAAAACACCGCAGCTCGGCATTCCCACCGCCAACCTCCCCGTGGATTCCGCCCTCACCCCCTGGATATCCTCCACCCCGTCAGGCGTCTACTTTGGCTACGCGTCGCTCAACCTTCCTGCGGCGCACCCGCAAAAGCCAGCATCCTCGCCCGAGGCCTCCTTCTCAGTCTACCCGATGGTCATGTCCATCGGCTACAACCCGTTTTACAAGAACACGGTGCGCAGCGCCGAGGTCCACGTGCTGCACGAGTTCAGCGCCGACTTTTACGACGCGCACATGAGACTGCTGATCCTGGGCTTCATTCGCGAGGAAAGGGACTACAAGAGTCTGGAGGCGCTGATTGAGGATATCAGTTTTGACTGTGAGGTTGCAAAGAGTAGCCTAGCCAGGGAAGGGTGGAAGCCAGAGAGCCTGAGGGACGGTGCTGAGTGGTTGCTGAAGGAGCTCTAGGCGCTGTACTGACTTGGCGGTTGTACTTTGAGTATGGATATGCCATGATTTTGGGGGTGGCTTGGGAGTTGCATTCGACTTGGACTATGCGAAAGGCGCTTTGGTTTGGCGGCATGGGAAACTCGGGACCATCCATTTAGATGGCTGGAATTAAGAAAGAATGGCTACGCCGGGTTGAAGTAGAGCGACTCTTTGGTAAACTTGGCATAGATAGATAGACAACAGTGTATAAAATCATATACGCTTATGCAGCAATTTGTATTATACGACGTGTACGGCGTGTACAAGACCGCGGGTATCGTAAACCTCATCTAGGCATCTACCTCTTTCTTGTTCCTCGACATGGCTCTGCCTGTCGAACCGTTTCACAGACGCCCGAGTCCCCCTTTTCTGTTTCAAATCCGGCCAGCCCCGAGTCCCAACTCAAATACCCAGCCCAGATAAAAGACCAAGATATAGATGGAAATAAAATGAGAAACAAAAAACACCATCCATGCAGCTATGTACGGAGCACCCACCCATCCACTATACAGCAAGCTGGTGTGGCTCTTGGTTAGGATAATACCGGGGCAAAAACTGCCATTGTTAGCAAGCATTTCATTGTACCACAGTCCATTGCTCTCAACTTACGTTCATTATGATCATCATGGGAATGTCGAATACATCCCGCTTAATTGTCCAGCAAAATGTGCAGTTGACCTTGCCATCCTTTTCAATCCGCGAGATGCCGTGCTCACTGTCAATCTTGGTGACACGGCTGCTCAGGATACCCGTCCGGTCCCTGTGCGTCGGCGTCTCCTTACCGTCCAACATGTCTTGTGTCCGGTACTTGTTCAGACTGCAGCTTCTTTGAACCTTGCCTCGGCTGTCTTCAAAGGCAAGTTGGGCAAAGTCGCGGTAGAATTGAACAACGCTGTCGTCGTCTAGTAGCTCTGCCAGGAAAACAGGCTGAGGTCTTTCACCATTCGGTTCAAGAGTAGCACTTTTGAGATGCGGCGTTGTAGTATCAGGCCGTGTGTTGCCGTCAGTCCCGTCGTCCGACCCGTATGGTGCTGGTCCGACAAAAACATTTCGGTTCGGCTCCTTGCCCAGCAGCACATTTTTTGTCCAACCCGTGAGAGCTGTAAACTCCTTGTTGACAGCAGCAATCTCACCAGAGCGCCGACACACAATTGTCGGAGCGCAGCAGTGTTGTAGAAAGTCGTCAAACTCAAAGAGGGTCCGTTGGAAACACTTCTCCATGAACAGCAAGTCTTCCCTTGTCAGGTCCTTGGTACATGCGATAAAGGAGGGACGAATTTCTCCCAATGATCTCGCAATCATGACAAGCTTGTTTACTGGCAGGCGGTGCTTGATAACCGAAATCATGTTGTGGAACCCAGCCGTATAGGGATAGGGTTCCTTGACATTGGCATAAACGGAAGCAGAGTCTCGTCTCTTGCCAATCAGGATTTGGGAAATCTTGTCCTGCTTGGGCTTCATTCTGCTTGCACTCGCCACGCCCGGCAAGTTGTTGAATGCTGTGTGCGGCGACCCGTCGAGGGCTGCCTGTGGACTTGCAGTGGCATCTGTGCTGGGGCTAGCAAGACTATTTGGGCCTGCCGCGATAGCATATGCATGGGGCAATCCGTGCTGCAGATTGCCTTGGGTGTAGATGGAATTCGTGGAGTCGACTCCAGAGTAGTCGCTCCCAGTCATCATGGTATCAAAAGGCTGGTTAGGGCCATTGCCAAACAAGGAGGCATAGTTGGCCTCATTTGTTGGCGTCGCTGAGATGGAATTCTCCCGCGGTGGTGTTTCGGCCGCCAGGCCCATCTTGTTCAGAATACCAAACTCCCATCCGGCGTACTGACTGCCGAAGTTGAGACCCTCCAAGTCAAAGTTGTACAACGCAGGGTTGCTGGGGTCGAACAAGGCATTGAAGTCCATGGAATTCCCTTGCATCATATTGTCCATTTGAGGTGCAGTCGCTGCTGGACTGGCCTGAAAGGCTGATGTTGCTTGCGTGTTGAACGGTAGGCTGTCCGACATGCCTACTTGCGGCTGGTTCGCGGCTGGGAAGACTGGAAACGACGGCCCATTGCTTGGGGCAAGGAAGCCATTGCTCCCGGTCACCGGCGATACAGTGTCGGAATGAGTCGAGTTTTGGCGTTGGCCATTGGTCCGAACACGCTCGGCTTCTGGATCATAGTTGGGTCCCAATACAGGCCGGAGTGCTTCAGGCGGCGCGTCATGAAGATATTTGGCCTTCTTACGCACGCCGTCTTGGCAAGCGTCGGCCAGCCCTCGTTTGATACAGCGCTTACACGGCCGCTCATCACCTATATACGCTCTTGTCAGCAACGGCACAAGACGCCTGGGCCTGTATTACATGGGGTTGACGGGTGTAGCTTGTGAAAGGATGACTGTCGACGGGACAGGTTCAAGTCGTGTAATCATGTCACAGCTCACAGCGTAGGAACTTACCGCATGTCAAGTGAGCCCTTTGGCACGCAAAACAGGCCCTGCGAGCCTTCTTTCTCCTTGGTCGCTGGGGATCCTTTGGATCATACTTCTTCTTGGTATCAGTCATGTTGTCGCTGTCCTTGTTTGGGGACTCGTTCTCAACCTCATTATCAGACAGGTGGTCCGACAAATCGGCACTATTGTCCTCCACCTCGTTGGGCATCTCGGCAAGGTTTATATAGGCCCAGGGCCTATCGTTCCGTTAATGCGGTCAAATTGCTCGAGGTCAGCTTTGAACCCTGTAGGTCCCTGCAATGGCTCTTGCTCTCACACGAGCAAGATGGCAGCACACAATGACCACTGGCCCAGCTGCCACTTGCTACAACGCATCCAAATCCTTGCGCGTAAGAACCACACCACTTTGCGCCTCTGTTACACGGCTTGTACCGTGTGTTAGACCGCTGATGACAGTGTTTAGTTGTTGTATGCGCAGGTATGGTCGGTGCGCCCACAACGAAAACCTCCCACCCCACGCTATTAACTACCGGTCAAGGAAAAGGCTCGATTTATCTGTGGATACTGCGGCACTGGCTGAAACAAGCAGTTGGAAAAGTTGTAGTCTCACAATGATCTCGGCCGAGTAGTCGAGGTTGGTGGATGGACGGCGAGCTTGGATTTGGGGAGGAGGAAGAGGAGGGAGGGGGGCCTGTGGCTTCCCGGTAGATGGGCCAGGTGTAGTGCCGGAAGGAAGACCAGGATTTCGATTCCAGGGCGACTCGTATTCTCCCCCACGACGGTTGGATCAAGGATACCCAATGAAGTGTACGGTGAAGAGAAAGCGAGGCGTTCGTGTGCGACGGAGGCAGTGGTCAGAGGGGCCGAAATGATGTATTGGGCCTCCAAGGTTGCATAAAGTAAGCCTGGAATTGGCTGTATATTGGTCGTAGTGGCTGCTCGAGCAAGCGCCAGAGCATCACCAGTGTCTTGTTTTCGAATAAGTAGAGTGGAGATTTTGTTGGTTGTTGTTTGCGACTACACCGTATACCGGGGACGGTTGTAGATGTAGTAGGTGACGGGCCAGTCGGTCACACGCAGCCACCCGCGGGCCATGTGCTTGTCAGAGCGTGCAATGGAATCCTATTTATGCAGCATTGGCATTTCAGCAAATGAGCCCGGAGAAAAAAAAAACTAGCGTTGAAGGAGCACAGCACACACGACTGGCCGGGCGAGGTTTGGTAGTGACGGGATAGGGTCGAGGCAGAGTAGCCGGATGTCGCGCGTAGCCGAGGAGTTTGCGAGCAAGGCCGGTGACGTCGCCGAGCAATAGTGCAGCCAGCTATGCGCGCTGCGACGTGGTAACGGCGCGAGGCACAGAAGTGCAGGCAATTTGCGCTTGTCCCGTCCGGTTGTGAATTCGGCGATGGAGTTGAGTCGAGCCTTTGCCGTGCAAGAGCAAGAGCAAGAGCAAGAGCATGAGCATGAGCATGAGCATGAGCACGTTGAACGGCTGGCTTGGGGTTGGGGTCAAATTAGTAGCCGGGCCTCTACGGAGTATTCGACGTGCGGTCGAGGGCTGGCCGTTTTTTACGTGATGAGGGCAAACAGGGCCAGCAGAGTGAAGGCAGGAGCTACCTAGACGCAGCCACAACTAGCGGCTTCCTCGTCGAGTCAAGTTGTCGAGAAGTGCGCCAAAAGGGCTCCAGCGGGCCTCAGAAAGCACCGGCCGACCAGTGAGTGCTGGTCTCTTGGTTCTCGAAAACGCATCAAGTGGGGAGTCCCAGCGCCCATCTAGTGTCTCCGCGGGGGGGGGGGGGGGGGGGGGGTGAGCGGCCACAGCACACAACACAGCACGCGGCACGCGGCACGCACGCACGAGCAGGCCAGGCAAGGCAAGGCCAGACACAACGAATGCTCGCTCGTCTGTCTACCATATTCTGTCCGCCAAGTTATTTTGTTTAGTGTGCCTCTTGGACGGTTTGGTGCCATGGCACCCATGTCCACTCTCTTCAACTTCAAACGGGCGGTATGTATGTATGTGGCCGTCCCCTTCATAACCCTGTCACTGTTGGGTCAGCGGCTGTTTTCTGTTTGCTGTTGGCTTGGCTCTGCGGGCGGACCGAATTTTGTTGTTAAACGATTGCGGGGTTTTCTTTCCTGTAAAAATGCATTGTAAAAACCCGGCCCAATTACGGTCAACTGGTACGTAAGTCACTGCTTCAGCATACATGTAGCTTCCTGTATGTACAAGCAAGAGGATGGCTGCTCAAAGTGGTGTTCAGCAATTCCTAACTTAGTTGATCACTTGACCACTCGACCAGATGCTGGGCCGAAACTCCGCTTTCGCACGTTGTGCTCCTCCCCCGGAAATGTGGCTGTCGGCGCTGAATCCAGACGGGACCTTCAAGTCTTGGTGAGTTGTTGAGGCTTGGATGCTTGGATACGTATCAACACTGGCTAACGTGGTGGGGTTCCCGTTTGGACATCAGCTCTGCCATGACTGGCCCGACCGTGTTTCAGTTGTAGCGACTACCCGGTCCTGTGCTGGGACAGAGCCGCATGTCAGTGTACTTGGCACATGGAAGGGAAGGTGTGACGGAAGCTGAAGACTGGCGGTTGGGCGTGGAGACTCGTCGGTCTTTTTTGCTGACTGAGACAGTGGAAACGACTCAAGTGGCTTATTGCAGGGTACTTGCTATATCATAGACAGGGAGCACTAAGCAGAGGTATACTCCGTACAGTTACAACGAATTCAAATAATCGCATACGGACCTCGCGGGCCCAAAAATGGCTTCCAGCTGCGGTTTACATGGATAGGCCCAGCTCGACAACATGGGGTTGGGCATGAGAAAACTAGAACCTGGAAAGCTGAACAGTTTTTGACGGGCTACGACATCAGACGAAAGCCGCAACGGCTACTCCGTAATGCGAGGGCACCGCCGCATTTGGAATAAACCAATTACCTGCAAGGACCGGGCTGTCTCTAGTGGGAGAGGCCGAGAACCGGACAGGACTCATTAATAAATCTAGCTTCTTCACAGGTAAGCTGCTAGGTTGACTTGAAAGTATTGGAAACCACGAGAGGGTGATCTGCCAAGCCGACGGCGCCTTCCTCTATTCTTTGCGAAGCGAATTGATGCAGGTCCCTCTAATGCCCATGTACTCCAAGTACATTGTACCGTTGACTCCTCGAGTTACAATACGCCGCCATTCGGCCATTTTCTAGCTTCACATGTCACCTTCATGTTATTTGTTATTTCAGTATAGTCTTCGCTGGTCGGCGTCTCCTCTCCTCAACTCCCAGTAGAACATTGAAACCTACCAACGGCCCTCCCCTGAGATCGGTTGATGGCTTGCACGCCCCTCCGCAGTGTCATCTGCACCGCCGTATTCCCAGAGCGAAGAGCTGAGAGAAGCATGCATTGTTTGGCCGCCCCCTCCACGGCGTGAAGAAAAATGAGCAATACGAACGTATGGACCAATCGACGCTGCGATTTTGCCATGGAAATACTGACGCAAGCTATTACTAATTTCAAATATCTTACATACGGACGACTCTCTTTGCACTTCTATTATTAGTCGGCTGAGTCTTCACGCCTCGACCACGACAGCGGCCGTCCCCGTCCTGAGAGCGCACGCGAGCGAAGAGCGACGATCGACAATCGACAATCGCCAATCGATCCAGCACCACCGCCCTCTTCAACCTGAGCCAATTTCTGCCACATCACAGCAATGTTGCGCACACAGCAGGCAGGCAGATGACCCAGCCCGTGTTCTGTGTGCTCTCACACTCTCACTCATTCGCCAGATCACCGTGCTTGTGCAGACCTGGGGATTGCCGAGGAGCCCGACTTCTGCCGTGCAGCGTGCAGCGTGCAGCGTACAGCAGCAGACAGGTGCAGCAGCCCAAAATGATGCCCGTGTTTCCTCCTCTGCGTTTACTTTGTGTTGCCTGTTTGTCTGTTTCTCCGCGTCGCCGGATCCCCGTCTTGGGATGCGTCGGAATCTTCGTTGCATCAGCTCCCCTCCGTCCGTCCATCGTTGACACCATGCGCTGCCTCTGTTCCATGAGCTCTCTTAGATGCTTCACATGCAAGACTAGTTGCACGACCGCGCTAGCCTCATGGACCTGTCTCATGGACGTGTTCAGACTGCGTGTGACAGTGACAATTCAGCAAGTCACAAATTAGTCCGCCAGAGTCCATCAAGCCGACGTTGCTTCGACCATGCAGACTGCCGTGGAGCCATAGTCATCAAAACTCGTCGCCTAGGGGAATATGTACGGTGATGTGTAATCCTGTTTCTCTTCGCCATCATCGGCGGCCAACGCTACACAGCAATCAGACATTTGACATTAATAAGAATGTCAAATCTTAGACTTAGGGCTCGGTCCGCCTTCAGGCGTCACCAGTGCGAGAGCGATTCGGCCCGCCTCGAAGCCCCAGGCACCTTGAAACATCAAGCATGCAGGAATTGGTACTAGGTACAATCGACCCTGGACATCGCTCTTGCAGGTGTTTCTTTTGACCCGGGTCTTGTGATGGCATCGATTTTTCTGAGCCGGCATCTGATGTACGGACGGCATGCGGGGCCTCGGCTTGTGCATTGCCCCATGGCAACATCAAGACTTACAAGCAGAACTAATGCCACGTGCTGAAAACAGAATCAGACCCAAGGAATAAGTTACGACTTGGCATATCTGCTCTTGCTTCGTATCCTTCTGCCGTAGCGGAAGAAGATGTAGGGAAACGGCACCATGGCTACCATCAAGAAAGCCAGCAGTGATGAAGCCCATTGGTAGCCGAGTTTCTCGTACATTTGAACGCCAAACAAAGGAAATGCCGCTGCGATGGAAACAAATGGTCAGTCCATCTTCTATCTTTTGCCACGGGAACAAAACTCTCCGCGTGGATCTAGATTTATACTGCAGGACTCTCTTCGTAACTTGTCAAACGTACCAGCAAATATACATCGCACAAAGGCGTTGGCAGCCAGTGCACTTGCGGCGTACAGCGGATACGCATCAACCTGAATCAACAGCAAAATATCCTTATTAGCCAAGGTCCAGTGGTCAGGCAGTAGTGTCCATTGGCCTATGGGCTCAACTCACGAGGAAGGTAAAGATGCCGGTGAAAAGCAACACATTTCTAGACAATTGCGCAACAGTCAGCCACCTCGTACAAATCGAGAGTGCACTAGGGCAATGCCAATTGGCCTCTGCCAAAGCCCGGACACCTGACAAAGATGTGACTAAAGTCACTGCGACATGCTCTGTCTTGGCAATATTCAGTCCATGCGGTCATGCAGTCTGTAGTGCTCGCCCAAAACGTGGCCACGACAGATCCCTGGGTTTGACGCTCGGCCGAGTGAGCTGGGCCCATGCTTCGAGACCCTGGCAGACAGCAACGACCACATCTAGTATATCAACCGTGAAGCAGGCCATGTGGCGATAGACGCACACCGCCCTCCCATACCTCCAAAGGGCAGTAGTGTTGTGCTACAGACTTGCTGGATTATGAGCAAAACAAAAAGAAGAGGAACGTACCCAATCGCGAAGACACACGATCCAATAATGGGCACAATCCAGTGTACCCACGGATATGTAGACCATCCAAACATGAAGATGCCAGCTGGGACGAGGAACGCCCCCATGATGGCTGGTGGAAGTCTAAACTCCGGTTCGCTGGCACCTGGGACGCCAGTCTCTGTCTCGAGTTTCTGAACCAGCCTGGTACGGACACGATGCCACACAGGATCGGTCAACACACCAAGTATCATGCCTACAAAGATGCCCAAGAAAGACATGCCGACCTGCCAAACATTGAAACCGTGATTGGTGCCGAATACCAGTGGAAAGGCGCCAAAGAAGAGGTACAAGATGCCCAATAGAAGTGCGGAGAAGAGGCAGAGGTTAAGACACATGGGCTCAAAGAAGAGCAGTTCAAAGGGTCGCCGCAACGAGCGGCCAACAGCCCGCACGACCGACTTGCGGACCTTTTCCGTGGGAGCCAGCCACCTATCATCGCCGGTCCCCTGACGCAGCTTCTTGGCCTTGTTTCGCAGCAAGATGGGATCTGTCAAGGTGAGAGAGGTGGTCAGTGCTTCGTACTCCTTGTCTGAGACAAACATGACCGCAAGGTGAAGGATGGCTGATGAACCGAACTGAGACCCTGACGCCCCACGAACAGCCTGTGTGACTTTTTTATTTTTTATTTTTTTATTTTTTTTTTTTTCACATGTGCTCACACTTCAGAAAATAATGTCCAGACCAAAGAAAACTTACGGTAAGTCTCTGGCACGAAGAAGACGACTGCTCCCCAGATAATGCCGGACCAAATCAGGAGCACATAATATGTCCAGCTCCAGTCAGCATTATAGTTGATAAATCCACCCAGCAAGGGCCCGAGACTCGGTCCTATAAACGGCGAAACAGAAAACAAGGCCATGGGAGCCTGCAACTCGTGTCTCGCGAACAAATCGCCCACGGTGCCCCCGGAAACGGCCAAGAAGGCACTGCCTGTAAAGCCATCAAAGAAGCGAAAAACAAGAATAGTGGCAATGTTTTTGGCCACTGCCTGTGGAATCAGAAAGATGACAAAGGTTGTCCACGAGACGAGGTAGATGGGTCGACGGCCGTAGAATTCACTCAGCGGGCTGAGAAACATGGGGCCGAAGGCGATGCCGAGGACAAAAGTCGACAGACCGAGGACAGAGACAATGCGAGAGTTGTGGAATTCGTGCTCCATTTTCGTGTATGTCGATGTATATATGGAGGATGCACAAGTACTATTATCACCATGGCCTTGTTAGTCTCAAGCTTGTGCCGCGCGCCGTAAGATTTACCACGCTTATGAACACATGCCAGAGCAAGCAACGTACACACACAAGCCAACGTGCGAAACAATAATGGTAATCAACCACTTCCGGCCCTTGGAGAAGCTCCTGGGACAGAGGGGATCGTTGTCGCCGCCGTCCCAACCAACCTCATACGGATCTTTGGAAGCCTCCGAGGAAGCAGTTTCGTTGTGTGCCTCCCCGCCATCACCAGGCGCAGGGTCACTGTCATCGTCGACGCCGTACCCATTTTGCGAGCGCATCCTATCCAGCGGTCGGGTGTGTGAGGCCCGCGATAGTGTGTGGGAGAGGCTGCTTTCAGACATGGCCGCGCCGTTGTCGTCTCCGCGGCGTACTTTCTCCCCCGTTGCCATTATATCCGCTTTCCTTCTGTTACAGCTGTACTGGCCAAAAAAAGAAGAACAGAAACAAAAAAGAAAGAAAGAAAGAAAGAAAGAAAAAAAGATTCCCAAGTATGTCGAATTGGTTTCCTCAACGATACTTGCACCGACTTTGAAAGCACTTGCGTCAAGAACCCACACGACCATCGAAATTCGTCGAGGGAGACGAGGGCTATTTAAAAAGAACAGGAGAGAAACGCCCCAGAAGCACACTAATCTCGGAGCTCGGATTCCGCATGTAATTTTCCGGGGAGCTAGAGAAAAAAAGCGAGTTCCAAAGGGGTTCCGAGTTTATTCAAAGTTGCAATTTAGCTTAATCGGGCAAGAACCACAACAAAGGGAGAGCCGGCACATTGGAGCAAGCGGAAGGAGGGGAATCCTCCCGCAATAGCCGCCGCACGTCATTGGAGTGAGTTGCTGATAAATACCCAGTTTCTGGGCCCTCTTTTTTTTTTTTTTTTTGAACCAACGCGAGGGACATCGGACGGTCGCCATGACGGGTTCGGAGATTACGAGCAAGAGAGAAAGTGCTGTGCTTCATTTTTAAACATAGTGTACGTTTTGGTGTTTTCGATCCCTACCCCTTTTTTTTTTTTTTCACAATTAAATGCTGCAGTTTGTGAGCTTGTCCCGCTTGCCAGACATGTCTGACATGAACATGGCATCGGCGACACACAGCCCTTTGGGGAAATCCTCTGCGGTGGGCGCGGGTCTTTGCACCGCTGCCAATATGATGGCGCTCTATCGCATGTGCCCGTAACATATAACTGAATCGATGGAAACAGAAATTGTCTTTTGCTAGAAACTCAGACCCCCACCCGTCACGGGTAAGTGGACGAGCCACTTGCTACTCATTTGTCATGTCTATCCGTGGAACTTGCGGTGCGCGACGGCATGACTAATCCTGAGTCACGGACATAACAAGGGTATACCGCTGTCGGATCATCATCCAGTTCGTCGCGACGTCGCGACAGACCTTCGAGCGTGCCCGTTCGGAGGGGTGGGGAGGGGGTCCCGGCCCTAGGGCAAAGGCCAATCTTGATTTCGGCGGGACCCAGTTGGAAACCAATGCCTGTCAGGGAAAAATCTACAGAGTCCTGGCTTCAGGCGCGTTGCCAAACAAAAAGAAGAGAAGGGGAGAAAAACGACAAAGCTGACGAAACAGTCATGGCCCGTTCAACGTGTGGCTTCGGCATAGCCCGCCAGCTTTGGTTCTTCAAAGAGCTTAGGTGGACGTGTTGGGCTACGACGGGCTCCGAAACAGGCAACCAACTCACTTCAAGAATCACTCCAACGGCAACGTTCGCGGGTGGGCAGCCACCGCTTGGACGCAGAACTCAGACCGCCTTCAACAACAACATACCATGCCAATAGCCCACACAATAAATTGCATCAAATTGATAGTTGTAGTTGATCCATATCTGCACCAGAGCCATGCAAACTCCAACCGTCTAGTAACAAAAACTGTCAAGATGCCCAGACCGCTCCAACCCCATGCCAAATAACCCCATCAGGATGCAAATATCAACGCTATGCTGCATGCCCCATGACACTATATATATGTACATACACACTACTCATGCCCCCCAACGTACACCATATTCCTACAACAATTCCCCTTCCTCTACTAATAGTTCTCCGCCAGCCCGCTCTTGGAGAAATCCGGGACATCCGTGTCACAGTTAAAGTCGCGACTATATGCCTTGGTTGGCATGATTCCCGCCTTGAGAGCCGCCTCGTAACTCCACAGCGGTGCGCTCTCCGTCTTCCACGTCCAGTACCACCAGCCCCAGCCTTTCTCAAAGCTGTGCATCTGTGCCTCTGCAAACATCTGGAGAAACTTCTTGTACTGCCCGCTGTACTTGCTCGGGTCCGCGTTGGCCTGCGCACACGAACAGCTGCTATCCTTTGTCGGGCACCGAGGCGTGAGGACCGACGTTGTCGAGTCTCCCGTGTTCAAAGTACCCTCCCAGCGATTGCCCCAGCCCACGTTGGTTAAATGCTTGGCACAGTCCGTGTCGGCCTGCGACCATTCTGCAAAAATGGTGGGCCCGTAGCCCGTCTGCGTGTTCATGCTTTGCTGCGCCTGTTGAGTCCATCCGTCGCAAGCATATTGAATCTTCTTTTGGTGCGAGAAGTCGATTTGATTTTCGTTGAAAATCACATACTGGTGCACATCCAGCACCATGTCGTCGTAGCCCGTCATCAGGCCTTTCCAATTACCGAGACCCATGAAGCCATCGCCAAAGATGACCAGTGCCTTGACCCCGTTCTTTCGCACAATCTTGTACGCATCTTCCGTCCACCCGACCACGTCCGCCGTCTGCAAAAATGTCATTCGCGGTTCGTTGGCCAACCCATAGTGTGTGAGGATGTTTTTGTAGCGGTCTTGCGCGAAGAACTGGCTCAGCTTGTCGTGGACGTCCAACGACCTCTTGCCGTTGAGTTGTCCGTCGGTGCCGTTGAGCCATCCTATAGCACCCCATCTTCCGCTGTGGTTCCAACCGTTTTGACTACCCGGCAGCCCGTGAAGGTCTAGATTGACGCGCAGACCGTACTTTCGTGCCCACTCGATTGCTCGCAAGAGATACCGCCATGACGTTCGAAATACATAAGGATCTCCGTCGTACACCTCGACTGCCCAGTACGAGAAGGGAATACGTACGTGGTCGAGCCCTGCCGCGGCGATGGCTTTGAATGTGTCCTCTGTAACAAACGAAGCATAGTGGTTCTCCAAAGTGCTTGCAGCGGACGCTCCGAGGTGCTGGCAGAGTGTCCATTCGTCAACGATTCCCATTTTCAGATCGTAGTTGAAGAGAGATGGTGTGATGAACGGCTCCAACGACAACCAACCCCCCAGGTTAACTCCACGAGCAGGTCGGCTTCCATAGGAACCCCAATCTTCATTCAAAGCCGGCACCTTGTCGTTCGCTTTCGCCGAGTCGTCCCACTCGGAAAATAACCCCATTACGGGCAGTCCGCCAACCATTTGATCCGTAAACGTAACGTTGAAGTCTTTGGTCGTCTTCCAACTCCAAGGGTCAAGGTATGTATTTTTCCATTTGGCGGGGACTTCATTCGGATCCTTTCCGTCGAGCGAAGAGGACTGTGACGATGAGCCAGTGTCGTCACCGTTCTTTTTGCTGACGACGACAGCCACAACGACAATGATGATGATTATCATGACGCTGGCGATCCCGAGGATCATCCCTATCGCACTCATTAGCAGGCGTGGAGTTGGAAATGGTCAGTTTTCGCGCGCTCACAAAGCTTTTTCCTGGGCTTCTTTTTCTTGTGGCGGCGGTACAGCTCCTCTTTTTCAAATTCATCCTCCCCCCAGCTGCCGCCGCCCCTTAAACCAGACCTTCCCGCTCGTCCTTCCTCCATGATGGCACCGCTCACAACCCTCCTCTTCTTGCTCTTGTGGTGTTTTCGCGGTTTCTGCGGCGTCGATCGCGGCGTCGTGTCCACCTCTTGGTACTCGCCTCTGTGGTGTCTCCGCCGGTCCTTCTCTGCCTTGCGCTTCCGTCGATCATTTTCTCTATTCAATTGCGCCAGAGCTCCAGAGGACAGATTTTGTGATGACGATGGTCGTCGATGTCGTCTCTCTTCTCGGCTTTCTTCAGAATTCGATGTCGTTCCGGGCCTCTTGGTAGGTGGTCTCTTTTTTCTATGTTGATGATGCTTTTTCGATGACTCGCCTGCTCCTTCCGCATGCCGACGTCGACTAGATCGGTGCGCTCCTTCCCTTGGGGCCATTATTGCGTCGCCATGTGAAACCCCGGTCTCTGGTTTTTTTTTTCCTCTGGAATGCGGCTAGGTAACAAAGACGCGATTATTATACCCTTGAGGAAATTATCCTGGTGCCGCGTCATTCATATTTGCCAAGGTACAGATATGGATAAGTGGCATTGTGGTTATTGGCGCCAAGGGGTTGGCAGGGCAACGACCCGTCCGGTCACCACGTCCCAGTTATGAAGCCTTTAAAACAGGGTTCATCCTTGCAACAAGGACTGATTTTGTCGGTAGATAATAATGGACGTATGTACGTCAATACAATGCATGCGCGTGACATCGAACATTATATAGACGTCTAGAAGAATCTGGCTGGCCAGGGTTGAATACCGAATTGTGTATGTAGTCACCGTTTTTCCGGCCTACACCCCGACGATGATGGATAGCCTGAGTGCTGTGTGAGTTGAAATTATTAGGTGTCGGCCGACGATTTGTTGAGACCTTGGGAGCTCAGGCTGTTTACGCGTCTCATTTGTTCAAGGACTCCATAGGGCCTGAGAGGTATCCAATGTACTCCCATAGCGGTCGAGACATGGGCATTTTCCTTGCATACAAGTGTCGTGCCCTCGTCGTATCTTCAATGTTTCATTCACAGGCTCCGAAAAGCTGTGTCTGCAACTTCTTGTGGTATTACTCCTTTCCTCCCATATCGTTTCAGGGTAGCTAATATCCATTGACACCAGGATCGTCGCCATCACTGGCTTCAACAGTCTCTGTACGAAGAGTCCAATACTTGCAGCTATGCGCTCAACCGGATTCTGTCATGGCGTGCGGTAGTAGTATCAAACGCATTGACACTTTTGACAAAATTTAACACACAAAATTTAACAGTCATCGGAGCTTCCCCGGAGTGATTCGGTCAGTGCCCCCGAAATGTGGAGTGCGATCTCTTAATACCAGGACTCACCCGGTCCTACGTCACCAATACCCTGGAAGCCGACTCTTTGATGTTGACATTTGGCTTCAAAGTCACCTACAAAACGTCTTTACCAGTGATGATTTTAATAATTTCAATCAATACCATCTCGCCTTCATGTCCGACCTTCCAATACACAGCACAGCTTATTCATCTTCAACGGCGGCACAAGAGAAGGTACACTGTGGGGCATCCAAAGGCCGTGGCAAGCCGAGTTCGTCAAAGCCGAGTCTACCAGAAGTCTGGGGAACTCTTAGTCTTAGAGCAGCCGCATTTGTTCTTCCCCTTCCCCAATCTTTGATCAATGTTTTGCGCTTTTTTCAACCGCTTTCTTGCGACTTTGCTGTAGGATTGGTGCGCACATAATGAAGCGCCAGGCTGTTTGTCAGTTGCGAAGGGTTGCGGCCTCGCCCAGACCTGTCCTGCTTCCCCTCCATTTCGCTCGCGCGTATTCCACCCATCCGCCCCAAGCACGTTTAAACAAGCCGATAGACTACTCGGAAACGCAATTATTAGCTCACAGCAGCAAGGGACCAGCCCTTGGTAATCACAATGAGATTCCTCCAGAAGTACGGAACGGCGCCACTAGAAAGATGAACCTGTTCCAGGCCATCAACGATGCTCTGGGGATTGCCCTAGCCGAGGACGATTCGGTTGTGATATTTGGCGAGGACGTTGCATTTGGAGGAGTCTTTCGCTGCACAATGAAGCTCGCAGAGACGTATGGGGCCGAGCGCATCTTCAACACCCCCTTGACGGAGCAAGGAATCATGGGCTTTGGTATAGGTCTGGCGGCACAGGGAATGCGACCAGTTGCTGAAATCCAGTTTGCCGACTACGTATTCCCTGCGTTCGATCAGATTGTCAACGAGGGAGCGAAACTAAGATATCGTGAAGGAGCTACAGGAGTCCATGCCGGCTCATTGACAGTTCGCATGCCCTGTGGTGGCGTTGGTCATGGTGGCCTGTACCACTCCCAGTCACCCGAGAGTCTCTTCACCCATGTCCCCGGATTCCGAGTTGTTATGCCTAGATCACCAATCCAAGCAAAGGGCCTTTTATTATCAGCTATTCGAAGCAATGACCCTGTCCTCTTTATGGAGCCCAAGATTCTCTACAGAGCTGCCGTTGAGCAAGTGCCCGAGGCTGCCTACGAGCTGCCTCTTTCCAAAGCCGAAGTCGTCAAGGGGGGCGAGGACATTACCATTATTTCCTATGGTCAGCCCATGTATACCTGCCTATCAGCTATCCAGAAGGCTGAAGAAGACTTGGGCATCTCTTGCGAACTGATTGATTTGAGGACCGTGTATCCTTGGGACAAGGAAACCGTCTTTGCCAGCGTTCGTAAAACTGGGCGCGTTCTCGTCGTCCACGAGGCAATGGTCAACGCCGGAGTCGGTGCCGAAGTGGCCGCAGCTATCCAGGAAGATCCCGAGACCTTTGTCCGGCTGGAAGCTCCTGTGGGACGTGTGGCAGGCTGGAGCATTCACAGCGCCTTGATGTTTGAGAAGTTTAACATTCCAGATGTTGCACGTAAGTTGAAGGTTTTCTCTATGAAGACCTGTATAAGAATTGTACTAACTACATGTACAGGTGTTTACGAAAATATCAAGAAGAGTCTCAATTACTAGACTGTGAAAGCAAAAGAGAACCACCCAAAAAAAAAAAAAAAAATTCATGAGGATTATAATTGTACATAGGGCATAGCCAGTGCGGCGTTTTCCACTTATGTAGACAATAAGTCGTCTAAACCGACGTTTAGTTCCGTTGACGCGTAATATGAGGTTGATGTTGACCTTGGAGGCTAGTTCAGAGTGGAATGGTTAGTACATGGCTATGGTAGTATTTTGTATGTGGTCAAAAAGTACCCGTCCTTTGGTTTGTGCCTGAGCGGCTCTGTTGCCCCTCGTTCGAGATCCGCCCCGCCTCAGCTGAACCTCCACCCAGACAGATCGCATGCTTCGGCCGAGTCTCCTGCGCAATCCGTGTCCTCTCAACGTACGTCCTTGCATTCCTCCTTGTCAACGGATACGCAGCTGTGGTGCAACCTGTTCGCATCATGTCGCAAGTCGAGACGGTATCCGCCTTCGTGGAGGGAGCTCCTCCCGGCGAGGTAAGTCTCCTCTTCTCACGATAGCTCCTCCAGCGTCGCGTCATCATTGATGCTAACTCACCATCGCAGCTCGCCGATGTCATTGCCGGTTCGACTAGTGCTCCGAGACCGTCATATTCGCATAGTTGCTGATTCCATTCGCCGCAGACATCAAAGCCTTGACGGTTTCTTCTCCAGACATTGTATCCGAACTCACTCCCGCCTTTGAGAAATACAACGAAGAACAACTGGTCACCGTAAAGCTGCCTGGCAGCAGCCAACCGGTATGAAATTTGGTGGAATCTGCAGCTAAGAGACATGATCCGATACTAATGCTGCAATAGGTCATCATCAGTTCACACAACGCCCTCGGCCACGGACGATACTACGACGTAGAAAGCTCATCGAGCTTTGCTGTCGACCACGCAACACAGGCACGTTGATTCGAGGAGTCTTTGGGTGTTTTCGAATGCTGACTGAGAAACAGAAAGCTAGCGCTGTGCAAAGCCATGTGATTGAAGGGCCTCAAGTCGACCTAGTGTATGTCATTACCGAGCTATGTTAGAGTGGAGAGCCCCGGAGCTGACAACGCGCAGTAAATCGACACTGAAAAGCCTTGGAGCATATGTCAAGGAGCACTTTCCGAACGCGTCATACGGGACGTATCCCATTGAAACCGACTCCAAAGTAGCTATTATTATTGTGGCCAACAAGTACAGCCCAAACAACTTTTGGTACGAGCTCATTGCTGTTGATGATATCCCCGTTCCGTCCTCTGATAACAATATTCGCGGAGGAGTAATCAATTTGCAAAAGCGGTTTTCCGTGACTAATATTTCCTAGGAATGGACGATGGCGATCACTATACGTATTTGATCCAGCTTCCGGAAGCCTGGAAGGCTCCATCAAGGTCGACGTCCATTACTACGAAGATGGCAACGTCCGCCTGCTTACCAACAAGCCAGTCACGGCTTCCATTCCCTCTGGGACTGGCGCCGGAATTGCCAAAGAAATTTCAGCAACGGAGAAGAAGTACCAGGAGGAGCTGAACAAGAGCTTTGTCAGCTTGAGTGAAGGCGCGTTCAAGGGACTACGGAGACAGTTGCCAGTAACAAGACAAAAGATTGAATGGGACAAAGTGACGAGCTACAGGCTGGGACAGGATATTGGCGGGGGCAATTCTAAGCGATAGACGGAATAACGCAGCGGCTTGAGTGGGTGATGCATTGCATAGAGATGTCACGACAAGACTAAACTATATCTGGCTGGATACATTCTACAATTCTGGAGGGAAAAGAAAAAATATCGTATCGGTCATTGCGAGCTCCGTGACCGGTGTAGAATTCACATGTCAAGCGCGCATCTACTAGCGGCCGGAGAGGTAGGGATCGGACGCGTCAATTGTACCGTGCGTGGAACTGATAATGACAGACGGCGGTGGCAGAGATGGTGGCAGAGATGGTGGCAGAGAAGACCAAACATGCAAGACACCCACTCACGCACCCAAAATAGCGTTTTGCGTGTTTTCCTCTACCAGACCCGATTGTATGGGCTCGTTCGGTGTTCGGAAACTGCCTCGGGATGTGTTGCCTGCCAGCTTGGCCTCTCTCCACACATCCGTCGAGTCGTGGCAGGTTTCCCCAGATATGTGACAAGAGGAAATCCGGGGGTGAATGGGGACAAGTATTTCAAAGTGATGAAAAACATGTGCCCAAAACATTACTGCCACATGATTGTATCGATTGAAATTGGTGCGCGCCATAACTACGGCCAAAGGCCAACTTGAAGCGAGTTTTTGTGCCCTCCATCGTTGGCGGGGCCGCGCACCCTGATTCCAGAACTGAAATCTGCATCTATCTGTACTTCTGTAGATAAGTGCTCCGAAGGACGGCACGGCAGCACGTTCGAGTCCATCACTCCGCATCACGTAATAGGTTATGCGGTGGGGTTCATGGCAGAGACAGTTCAGCTTGTCCGAGTCAACCATGGCTTTCCGTGGTCAAAAACCGAACAGAGCCGCCAACATTTCGGAACTGGGTTGGGTGGGGTAGAGCGACACGGGAAGCAGAGGCGGCCGGTGAAAATCCAACTCGACATGGCTGAGGGGGCTGCAGATGGAAGTTGACTTGGACGGCCTGCAGCCCGGGATAGTAATGCTGACGAGACCGCAATTGGACAAGGTGTCTTTTTCTGAACGGGTCTTGGGACGGACAACACAACATGTGAGTGTCGTGAGACTTGACCAGACGAGGCGAGTGTTGCCCGTCTGCCTGGTGTATTAACAGGACCTCCGGAGGAACCAGCGGCGCCTATCGACAGCCTCGCGGCAGTCAGAACACTCCATGTCCGTAGCGGAGCACTGCCTGTGCCTGTAGCTGACCTTGACATCTGGAAACTTGCGTAAGCAGGTCAGACGCCTTCTCTGTCTAACTGGAGTATTTTTTTTTTTTGCTGGGGTCTGGAAGTCTGGGCGAGTGACGCACGAATCAAAAACGTTGAGCAGTAATTTTGAAGCAGGCCATTGGCCAGTGCCGTGGATTCCGTGGATCCTCCGACTGGGACGGAAGTTGGAGGACCGGGTGGTGCCAGCTACAGCCAGGCTGTCCGTCCGTCAACCTACAGGCTGGACATCTGGGGGGGGCTGAGGCCACCATAGCACCATCACTGTGTGTGCCTGGTGCATTCTGGAGACGCCGACCCTGTTGCCGCCAGTCAATTAATTGGACCGGGACCCTATCAGACACTCTCTTTCGGGGGCCGCCTCGACAATTGCCTGCTCCTGGACCCTTTCTCGTCTTCCTTTCCACATCATCTCGATTCCATCCTCGATTCCTCTCCGCCTCTCACAGGTCTCTTTTACGAGCGCGTTGACGGCGTTTGATCCCCTGGTTTTTGCCATTTCCTGTCCATTGCCTTGTTTGCAGATCGAGTTACCCTCCTGTTGCGCTCCCGCCGCAAACCACCCGTCGCCCACCATGTCGTCTACCGTCGAGCTTACCTACCAAGATGTTGCCGAGCACAACACCAAGAAGGACATCTATGTCGTGATCCACGACAAGATTTACGACTGCACTCAATTTGTTGATGAGCACCCGTACGTAATTGCCGCCCTTTGGAGCACTACTCTTTTTTGTCGGACTACAGTCCAACATACCAAAAACAAGTGCTGCGCTGTGGGACGGAGCTTATGTCGCCCACACGCAGGACATGTCCCCTTTTTAAAAAATGTACCACGAGCTAACAATGTCACGGTAGTGGTGGCGAAGAAGTTTTGCTCGATTGCGCCGGCCAGGATGCCACCGAGGCCTTTGAGGACGTTGGCCACAGTGACGAGGCTCGCGAGACCTTGGATAAGCTTCAGGTCGGTGTCCTGAAGCGACAGGTACGCATCCCCCCCCCCCAAAAAAAAAAAACCCCGAGGCGTCATTTTGTGTCTCAACTTAAAGATGTACGTTGAATAAAGTCGCTCATCAACTATTTCTTTGCAGCCCGGTGATCCTGCCCCTAAGACCGCTCCCCCTACCTCATCCGGTGCCGCCTCTGGCAGCAGCGACAACACTGGCGTGGGCATCGGTGTCTATTTCATCATACTCATCGGCGGTGCTCTGGGCTACTTTGGTTTCCAGTACATGGCCAAGCAGCAGCAGGCTCAGCAGGCTGGTGCCGCATAGATGCTTTTTCTTTTTGCTTTTTATACATCTTCAGCAATGATGAATTTCTCGTAATGCTCCTGAGGCTGGCCTTGTCCCTTGCAAGCGACGATTGGTTGGCGAAGGAGAGGGGTACGAAAGAATTTTTTATGAAAGGGAGTTGGGGTCGAGGAGGGGAAGTCCCGTTGAGACGTCGGGTAGCGTTTCTATACAATGGCTCACCCCCTAGAAGAAGCCTCGTCTTCGTGGGGACAGCTGACGGCGGGCAACTTGGAAATGCGGTCTCAGCACTGCCTTATTTAGAGGCTGAGATCTATTTGTACTGGGTTAATGGTAGATATTGTCCACTAGGCCAGTCTTCTCTATAGAATTATAATGATGGTTTTGTAAATCGCTCGCTTCTTTCTCTGCACAGGCGGAGCGCAGGTAGCCACACCATGTAAACTTGTTTGCTTGTCGCAACAGTCCGCTCTTCTTTCAATTTTCCGTACCAAACTGGGAGGGAACTGCAAACAGAGTCTGCTCATGTTCCACAACACGCAGAAAGTGGTGGTTCGATTGTACCAATCCCAACTCGCGGAAATCACATGTCACTCATTCGTGCTCCGTACTCCGTACCTGCTTGCAAAATGACATGGTCTGACGCAAAATCAAATGACTGGCCCCATCTAAACTCGGAAATTTTTTCTCTGCCAAAATCATACGAAACAAGACTGATTGTAAATTACCAGGATTGGCCCAGTATGGCAGCGGTTACAACTTACAATCACAAGCGAGGGATAGTCATAGCTGGTTTGTTTCACCATTGGCCAAGACGATGCGCTTATTCACAGCGACTTTGTTTATACTTCCGGGTCATGAGGCGGGCGGTGAGCAAGGCGTCCGATCCGACGCACCCACCATTTTCTTCTTCATTTCCTGCAGCCTCTATAGTCGATTAAGTCGGTTGGCTCGGGGGAGCGTTCAATGTTCGGAGCAATGCCAAGTGTCGAGACGTCCAGCCATTCAAGCAACGCCCATGTTCTTGCATATAATGTACAAGGTACAAAAAAAGTAGCAAAATTTCTGCTACAACAAAGATTGAGTTCATCCCAATTTCTTGACCACACTTCTGAATGTGCCTGCGCAGCAATAAGGTTTATAAGGTTTCTATGGTGAGTGAGACGGGCAAGGCGGCGGACGGACCAATCAGCGTGCAGAGTCAACTAGCGGCCTCGAACCTCAGACTCGACTTTCCAAGCACAGCCATCAGCGAAGCTCTGCCTTCTTCCCTCTTCCTCCCCTTCACGGCCCCTTCATCTCCGTCGCCCGACCCCCACGACCTCTTATCGAAACGCCGCCACTTCTCCATCTCGAGGCCCTTCCACTCATTGCCCACCATGTCCTCATACCTGGAGAAGCAGTCCTCCGCCTTCCGCGGCACGCTGGCCTCGGCGGCCGCGAAGCTCTCGAACCCTTCCAGCACGAGCGCCGGCAAAGCGACGTCGCTGGCACCGCCGTCCCCCTCGCCGTCCGCCGCATCGGACAGCACCACGCCCACGGCCAAGAGGAAGCGCGACCTGGCGCCCGAGGTGCCATTTTCTCAGCCCACGTTGACGGGGTACGGTGCCGAAGTCAAGACGCAGATGGCCTTTGCGGTCGAGTATCTCAAGAAAAAGGGCGAGCCCAAGAGCATCACCGACATCATCGACCATCTCAGCCTGCGAAGCTTCCCGGAGGAGCACAAGCGGGAGCTGACGGAGGGACTGAGGGGCCACCCGCGCGTCGAGTGGAAGCCAGACGCCAGCCTGAGCGAGCAGACGTGGAAGACGGGCATGTACTCGTACCGCCCCATCATCCTCAACGTCAAGGACGGCACGTCTCTCCTGGCGTACCTGCAGCGCAAGACGGACGCCTCGGGCGTTTCGGTCAAGGACCTCAAGGACGGCTGGCCCGACTGCGAGGAGACGCTGGCGTCCCTGGAGAAGCAGCACAAGGTCCTCGTCGTCCGCACCAAGAAGGATAATTTCCCCCGCTACGTCTGGGCCGACGACCCGTCGCTGCACAACGCGGTCCAGCCCGAGTTCCAGGTCATGTGGCACCGCGTCCCCATCCCCAGCGTCGAAGACATGCACCGCAAGCTGGTCAACGTTGGACAGAAGCCTACTAGCGAAGACCCGCTCAAGATCCAGCAAGCGGCGGGCAACAAGCCCAAGGTGCAGAAGAAGAGGGCGAGCAAGAGGACGGGAAAGGCGACAAATGTGCACATGGCTCATTTATTGCAGGATTTCAGCCACATACGGCGATGAGTGGCCATCGTTACATCACCTGCCCTTTTCCCTTTTTTTTCGAAGGATTTTTTTTTTTTTTTTTTTGAAACTGTACAATTCAAATGTACTGGGTCCTTGGATTACGGCGTTTCTAACAAGGTTCCGGCGGCGAGTCGACAAAAAAATGGAGAAAGAGACTGGGGGTCTTTTTAATACAGGACATGGCTAAATTGGAAGCACAGATAGCAGCATCTCCCCTTTTCCCTTTTTTTTTGAGGGATTTTTTTTTTTTTTTTTTTGAAACTGTACAATTCAAATGTACTGGGTCCTTGGATTACGGCGTTTCTAACAAGGTTCCGGCGGCGAGTCGACAAAAAAATGGAGAAAGAGACTGGGGGTCTTTTTAATACAGGACATGGCTAAATTGGAAGCACAGATAGCAGCATTTATCGGCGTTTGGGACCACGGATTCGGAAAACTGTGGTGGAGCATATTATATCCTTTCGCGTCTAGCACGGACTTATACACCTAATTCCATCTTGAAGTATCTTGAGGCCTGCTTGGTGACTTTGTCCATTCTGGGGCATGAAAGAACTATGGTCTCGTATGCATCTAGCAATTGTTTTCGTCAGTTTGTGACAGATACTGCCGTCGAGAGCCATTCTCCAACGCCATCATCTCTACAGTTTCTGTCGGTCTCTTTTATTGTCTGGAATGGCCTCCTCGGGGTATTTTCAAATCTCGTCATGCCACTCGTCATAACACTAATCATCATCTCACGGCTTGCTCAACACACGCGCATTCTCCGCCCATATCCGCTCAAACAGCTTGTCGAAAACCTCCTGCTCCTGATATCCACCGACCTTGTACTTTCCCAAAACCGTTACGCATGGGACCGCCTCGACACCCTTCTCCTCCACGGCTGCCTCCGCCTCGTCGTCTACAAACCGTCCGTTGTCATCATCCCTCAGATCTGACCGAACTACATCTGCGGGCAAACCTGCTATCTCACTACCCAAGCTGACCAGGACGTCTTCGTCTGAGATGTCCTTGCCGTCCAGTAAATGGCTCCGGAACAAGGCCTCTACAACTCGTGCTTGGGCTGCGGGTCCACGGCGGCGGAGAATGTTGGCGATGAGGATCTGAGAGGCGCGCGTCGGGCCGGTGTCACCTCTGACGAAGAATTTGAGGCCGTAGGATGCACCGACGGCACTGACACGATCAAGATGCGGCTGGAATTTGCCCGGGCCGCCAGCCATTTCGTCGTACAGCGCGATCTTGCCACATTCTGACCCTCTGTCAGTGGTGTTCAATGGTTCTTCATTGGCATGGAAAGGCTGGCGGTATGTAGAAGTTGTTTTTGGCAAGATTAGACGGGTCTGGGTGGAAGTGGATGGAAAGCATGTAGTAAACGTACTGGTCTTGAACAACGGATTCAAGCAAAATGATCGCCATACGACCTCAAACTCAACCTGTGGGTGCTTGGACTCAAATTTCTTCATGGCAGCCTCAAGACTGCGCTTCTCAATCCAGCACCATGGGCATAATGTGTCTGAAAACAGTTCGATGGGCACGAGCAGCCGCTCCGCCTGGGAAGGGGAGGGCATCGAAACAAGTTTCCCAAGGGCGGTGGCGGTCTGGGCTAAGTCCAATCTGTCAAGTTGAGAGACGGCCGTATGGTACACCGATTTACCTCTGGTCTCGAAAGATACACCGTAGTCACTTCTCTCAACGTGGAGGCTTCAGCAAACGGGAACAGGAACGGGCGCCCTGAAATATAACGGCCCGTCTAGTCGAAGGTGGGATAAAATCGAGCGAGGCTGTCACAACAATTCTGGCGTATACTTGAACGAAAAGCCGTCCAGCAGCTTTTCAACAGGTAAAATAATGGAAATAGGGGCCAGCGTCTCAGTCGCGTCTGTCAGTGGCAAGTTCAAAGTGACTGGTGTATGGGCTCCAGTTGATTGATAGAAAACGAGAACCTCCGGTTCTTCTCCACCCCGGTGCCAGGACTTATACGCCATCAGATTTTTTGTCTGTTACGCTGTCCCAGTTGAACTTGAGGAGAAGCTTTCATCCGAGGTAAGTAATCATTATTTCCGCAATGCCGGCAGGACCCCAGCTGAAATGGCACGGCTGGCGGGTTTTAGATTGGCGGGCGTTGGATTTGTATTGCTGGACAAGGGACTCTGGATTAGTGATCAGTAATCATGGTGCAGCAGACCATGCGGACGACAAGCGTTGTCATATTTCTCAGGTCCCTCTTTTCCCGTCATGGAGGGTGGTAGGTTGGTGGATTCCTGATGCGACGGTCTTTGGACCGGGACCGTATCAAGAAAAATGGCGGGATCCGGGATGGAAATCGCAGTATAACTACTCGATGGAAGAAGCCATGCGTGTCGCAGCTACAGACAGAAAGAAGTATATGGGCTTTAGAGGGAACTTATATTGCACATGCGGATTCGGCAATCGTTTGGAAGGAGCCTCCCTTGTCCACCGCCACCAGCCCCTCTTGCCGTTCAGCGTCTGTTCCGCAGCTGCAGCTCAACAGCCACGTCATTCCCCAGTCAAATACATAATCAGAATTAATATTGTCAGAAGCTATGCCGATTTCGAGCCGCACCGCTTTTTCAAGTTTCAAATCAAATGATCCTATTTTCCCTAGACGCCTTCACCTCATGGTCAGGAACGTAGATTACATGCTCCTATAAATTCTCCGACATTCCCTTTTCCTTTCTTCCGCATCAAGTAGACTCGAAAAAGGCCTATACTAGAAACCAACATCAATGCCATGCACTCCGTATAATTGTTTTGGGAACAAATGACAGGTAATCATGACTAAACGTGTACACAAAACAAGACACCATCCGTTCCTTTTCTGAGTCTTTTCAAAAAAAATTATTTCACTCATTAGATGTGGGCTGCATGCAGGTCGATGCCGGAGTAGCTCCCATTGGTTCAAAACCCGAATGCGACGAATGCCCACATGCATGTCAAGCACCTCACGTCACGCCAGAGAGTGACCTTGGTAAACCACGTCCTCATTCGTCTCTGCTCTACAAGTCATGTCTCATGCTTCACACCGTTCGATTGGGCTGTACCTAATAAATGATTCACTCTGGCTGGCACAATCATTCGTCAAGTGGGATTTATATTAAACATAATGGCGGCGAATTCATCTATGATTCGGTGTGTCCAACACCTCTTGGTGCTCGGGTAAAATCCATTCCCTGTCCCCAGTCTACATACAAATAAGGAATATAACAATGATGTGCGCCCTCTTCTCGGATTCCACCAGTCCCTGATGACGCCTGCCCAGCCTCCTGCTAGGAAAATTTGCCTGCACCCTAACGCACTCTCGCAAGTCTCGTATCCGTCATACCAGATGGAAGCACATGAGTAAGAAAAAAAAAAAGAAACTAAATCAATGGCGACGTCACGCATCGTCCCTATGTAATCGGCCGCTGCCGCTCTACCGGGCTGAGCATAAACAAAAGAGGAAAAAAAGACAGATATGAACGTAAGGCGAAGAGCCACAAATGCATCGAAACAATGATGACATAACTGTGTAATCAGTGAGAGACGGATTGTGTCGCAGGGCGCCCGTCCGCCCACTGTAAACAACTCGATATGAGCATGGAGCATGGTAAACACTCCTAGTATCCTTGCTGTGTGAGAGAGGGCTTAGCTCCAACACTTGCAGTAAACCGGGACCCAAAATGTCGTCTCTCCTAAGAATAATCTATTGGTGTGTCGTGAGTGAAACAAACGATGAGGGTATCAATGGACCGTTGTCGGCCCCGTGTATTTGACTGTTCCATTATTCAACATTTTCGAGCTATAAATAGGCCACCTAAGCCATATGTACTAGCCCAGGTTCGGCGCTTTGAGGTCGACGCATCTGGGCTGACGCGTTGTAATACATTTGTCCCATCGCTGCGTTTTGAGGATATGTGTCTGGTTCGGGATACACATAACTTCCTGCTCCCTGAGATGGCGACGGAACATGGGATGGTGACTGCCAACCAACACTGCTCATGTGAGGGCTGCCTCCGGAACTACCGGGCTGGTGCTGCTCAACATTCGGTTCCAAAGTGGGCGGTGGTCCATAACTCGTTGGGTGCGACGTGGGCCTCATTCCTCCGCTGCTGTAACCGTTGGACGCTGCTGAATTTGGGCTACCTACCCGTAGATGTGGTGGAAGTCCGTTTTGCTGCAGATATTGAAATTCACCGGGATGTCGGTTCACGTTGGCCGCGGTAGTCATATCCATGCTGGGGGACATGGACATCGTGCGGTGGCCTGGAGAAGGCGTAGTTAGGGGCGATCCATGACTTGACAAATGGTCTCCCTCAGAACGTGTTCTTGTTGCCTTTTGTGCTTTGGATGCTGCCAAGGCGGCTGCCGTGGCTGCCGCCGCTTCCTCAATTGTTCCACTGTGGTGATTCTGATGTCGAGTCAAGGTGGTCCGGCGTGTGAAGGTTTTCTGACAATCGGCGTAGGGGCATTTATAAGGTCTGTTGCCCGTGTGGGTGCGTCTGTGACGGGCAAGAGAGCTACTATCGCTGAAACGCTGTTCAACAGTTGTTTAGCAAAACAGTCAAAAAGAAAAAAAAAGGAACAGCATGCAAGTTCCAGATCCCACTAACCTTTGCACAGATTTCGCAATGATGAGGCTTCTCTCCTGTGTGGACGCGTTTGTGAACTGTGAGGGCAGATCTTTGAATAAACTGCTTGCCACATTCAGGATAATCGCAAACATGTGGTCTCAAGCCAGTATGGATTCGTTCTGTCATCTGCATTAACTTGATGACTCCTCAACTATGATTCAATATCTCCGCCTACCATGTCGTGCAAGATCGCTTCGACGAGCAAAACTCTTGCTGCAAGTTCCGCATAGGAATGCCTTTGCCGGCTGAGGAGAAGGCTGATTGTGCTGGGGCATCTGGTGCATGGTCATGCCATGAACCGTACCCATAGCTCCTGGCATATCTGGAAAGTTAGGTGGAGACATTTGACCTGGCATCGTATTGGGCATGTGCATAGATGCTTGCATTGTTCCTGGAGAAGCATATGACCTCGCGATGTTATGAGCTGTGGAATAGGAGGAATGCTCAGACATATGCGGAGAAACTGAGCGTTCCATACCGTGCTCTGGTTTGACAAGTGAGAGGTGAGGATGGTGGTAATCGGCGTGAGTTCCGACAAAATGTTGCTGCTGGTAATGGTGCGCGAGTGAGCCTACCTTATTATTCAGCATGTTCGTCACATCCATTGCCTTGCGGCACGCCTCGAGATTGGCTCACGGCTCAGTCTGGCGCGTGTGTTAGTCACTGATTTCATTGCGGCCAACACCATGGAAGCAGAATGATTCACTCACGCGAAGACAGCCAGAGTGATGTCCCACAGCACAGAGCCAATGATTGAAGACAACAACAACAATGAGCAACTATCAATGTCAGAATTGGTTTGAAAACAAGGCGCAAGAGACTGCAGCACCAGTGACAGCAAGTTCAGTGCCACGGGTTTCAAGCGCCTGCCAAAAATTGTACAGAGTATGTCCGTATCAAAGGATAAGAACAATAACGCCAAAAGCTTGAAATCCCCTAGGTTGTTCGACACTTTACAGTCTGACCATTGTCCTTGCACAAGTCACGAATAGTGCTACTGCCCCTGTAGTGCAGATAGGAAATAATGGCAACGCTTACCGGCTAGTTCAAAGATACCCTTGTACTTTTGATCAAAGAGTACGGCACGGTAGTTGGAAAAACGGTGGAGTGTCAAAAATGAGGTAGCCTCGTCGCCTTTTTGAAATAAGCCAATGGCGCAACCGTGATAAATCTTCCGCTCGTAATTCGTGCTCAAGACCCTACCAATCACCAAAAGATGGCAGAAATCGTATCGTACCTGCTGTGCCAAGAAAGGGGCTGGAGGAGCAGCTCACAGGCCTGGGGATCTCTCGACACGAATTATAACGCCCCTGTCGCAATGTACGCAGTGCAACAGCGGCAAAGTTCCAAGTCTGGCCAGCGAGGGAGCTTTGCAGCTTATTCCCGCTGGTATTCACCACAAAGAAGAACAGTGCCAGAGTGTCGATGGACGATATCGTGACTGGGAGTGACAACAACTGAATGCTGCACGAAGGCGATACTCAATGTTTCTTCGGATTACCGTGAGACGCAACGCCGGCTCGAAATCTTTTGCCCTCTACTTTTCGGGAGTAAGAAGATCGAAGTACCGTACGACGCTTGGGCGGAAGTCTTGGGAATATGAAGTCGATGCGCGACGACGCTGGGATCACGGAGCGGTTGACGGAGGCTGATCTGCGATTTTACACCCCAGACGATTGATTAGTTTGGTCGCAATATAGGCGTCGAAAGCAGGAGCACGCGGTAGCAAGAAAGAGAGAAAAGAAGAAGAGAAAACAAAGACCCTGTGGCAGAAGAAAAATTGCAGAAGATGCGAGAATCGCAAGGCGCCAATGGCCCACGAAGTAATGACC